TATAATACAGTACAGTATAATACAGTACATTATAGTGCAATACAATACAGTACAGTATAATACAATACAGTACAGTATAGTACAGTATAATACAGTACAGTATAATACAGTATAATACAGTACAATAGATACAGTATGATACCGTATAGTACGATATGATAATGTATGATACAGTACAATATGATCCATTACACTACAGTACTCTACAATATAACAAAGTATTCATCATTTGAAATGTGAGCTGAGTTCTGTCCAACAGTTTCATCACAGACTAAAGTAAACTCRGTCCAAACCACAGATCTGTCTTCAGATCCAGTTTGGATGTGGAGGATTCTGAGGCTGGTTCCTGTAGCTTTCTGTAGACAAAGGTCTGCTGTGTTTTCTCTTCATTAGTCTTCTTTTCTGTCTCCTTTCTTGTTTTTTTTTTCCCCCTCCTCATATTTCTGTTTGGCTGTTTCTATCATTTCCTGGCGCCTGTGCCCTCACTCTGCCTCCTTTGTCACATCTGACGCCTTTAGACGGTAAGTGGCTTTTCTTGTTGCCAGCTGAGTTTTTGTTTCTTCTTTTCTTTTTTTTTTTCAGCTCTCTGTCAGCGTGTGCGTCGTTCTCTCATGGAGTCGTAGTTTAAAGTGTCTGTTAAATTTGAGAGGAAACAAAAAGAATCTGTGTGAAATGAGAACTTTGTAACTCGTTTAGTGTTTAAAAACTTTAAAAAAACAGAAGAATGTTGAACAGAATAAATATTTAGTAGATGCTGAATTTGGTCCAAAGTCTGTTTACATAAAATTAATAATGCCTGGTAAACATGTTTTTCAAAATTGAAATGAGGCTTCTTTTTTTGTTTCAGAACAAGATGATAAATTTGAGTTTCTTAAGGCTGTTCAGAGCAGCTCGTCTCATCAAGCTGCTGCGACAAGGCTACACCATCCGCATCCTGTTGTGGACCTTTGTTCAGTCCTTCAAGGTCAGTAAAAAGTCAGAAATGGATCCATTCACAGTTTTCTAAACCCATCCCAATTCCTGAAATTTGACATTTGAAGCTGTTTCTGAGAACTACTTTTAATAGTCAGAGCACAAGAAAATATATTATGACATTTTATTTCTTAACACTGTATTGATTTTTAATAAACGCTTAATAAACTTAGCAGAAGAATAGCAGAAAGAAGTAGAATTTTAGCTAATATAGCAGCAAAAAGCTAAAGTTAGCATAAAAATAAGCTAAAGGTAGCAGACCCAAGTTAAAGGTAGCACCCAGATGGTGAAACGATGTAAAAAAAATCAAAATTAGCAGAAAAACCCCCCATAAAACCACTAAAAAGTGATAATTTCAAGTAAAATAGGTAAAACAGCTGAAGTTTTCAGTAAAACAGCTAAAAAGTAGCAGGAAATATTTTAATTAGCATAAGGATGCATAAGGAACACAAGTTTGCTGATATTAGCAGAATTCAGTAGAAATAGCTCCAAAAAAATGTGCAATTAGTTTAGAAAGCTAACTTTGGCTAATAACAGCTAAAATTTAGCTAAATTTGATTAAAATAGCTGAATTTAGCAGAAAGCAACTGTAATCTGAATTTAATCCGATTTCATGCATATAATTTGCTCGTTATAACAAGATTTTTTAAAACTAGAATCATGAAAAAAATGGTGATAAATCGGCTTGCTGACAATAAGACAATAAATCGTGATACATCGTATCGTGAGCCCTGAGTTATGATTTGTATCAAGATAAGAGGAGATATATGGCTGCAGTTAGAGAGGACATGGAGGAAGGTGACCAGCTGTGGAGACCCCCTGACCCCCTGGAACAGCCAAAACAAGAAGAAGAAGAAGAAGAAGAATCATGCAGCCAAGCTGAAAACTGGTTGATTCGTATCACCAGCAGAGCAATAGTTTCTCCTTTATTTACTCAAACAGTCACATCTGTGTGTAGGAGTATGAAGCATACTAATGACTGAGTAAACAGTGTTTGTTTCAGAGTAAGGGATAAATGCACTTATTTCTGGAATTGCAGATAATTAGGCCCCTCAAAGTGGAACTGATTCACTGTGGCGTAAACACAGAGGCATTAAAAACAGCCAGCGGAGCGGCAGCCCCCTAAAAAAAGAAAAACATGCTGGATCCCTTTGTGGCTTCTCAAATCGAACTAAACGGCTCTCGGCAGACGGCGGCTGGGATTTGTTTTCACGCAGCTCCGCTCCGCTCTCCAAATCCCCTGAGACAGGCTGAGCTGTGTGCGGAGCGCCGGGGCCAGCAGCCGAGGGAGCGTACAGCAGGTTTAATGTCAGCGGTGAGAGCTTTTAAGCCCCATAAAAACGGACAGCAGCTGCACAGTCTGAAAAGGTGGCAATTTAATTACAACAAGCGATCGCCGTCTTATAAATAGCCGGTTAAAGTGATCGGTGATGAGTCGGTTCTTAAATAAGAGCAGAAACTGCTGCAGAGGAGCTCATCCTGTGTGGAAAATCAGATCTGAGTGCACAGCAGGGTGGACAGGAGTTCAGTCTGGATTTCTGTTTGTTTTCAGGCCCTGCCCTACGTCTGCCTGCTTATCGCCATGTTGTTCTTCATCTACGCCATCATCGGGATGCAGGTGAGCTGGACTCAACCAAGTTTCAAAAGTCTTCATTTCTGTATCTCTGAACTGAAACACTAATGTGATCAGCCTGAATTAATGTTAACAAGTTAAAAATACATCGATCCACATCCATACATCGATTAAATGATTAATGATTCAATTACACTGCTGCAAAATGAAAAACAAAAAAATCATCCATATCGTCGTCATATCGATCACAGACTTGTGAGTTCAAGTGAAATTGCATCATGACAGACTTTGTGATAACAATAAATATCATATCATCATCCAAACAAACTGATATAATTTTGTATTATTGTATTTTATTGTGATAAATCTGGGGATTTACACCCCTATTAACAAGCAGTGGTGGGCACAATTTTGCTAATCCGCTAGTAGCAGAACTAGCTTCTAATTTAGCAGATTAGCTTTTCAGCTAACTTTGGAAAGCGTTAGCAGACTGATTAGCATCCTCTAAATTAGGTTCTGCTAATTTTAAGTCCACTAAAGTTTGAAATTTCTATTTTTATGACATTTATCCCAAATTAAATAAACTAACTCCTCTTACAATCAGTGCAGGACGTGTCAGGCACTGTGTAGCATGTAGCATCCTCAGTAGCTAAACTTCAAACTAAGAACATCAAATAAAATTTGACTATGTATAAGTAACAAATACAGTTAACTATGTGTAGAGAAAGTATTTGTTATTTAATTGACTAACTTCGAATAGTATTCATAAAAATAAAGACTCCATCAAATAAATGCTTTTATTCTGAAAGGGGTAAACTGGACGTATGAAGTTAGATATAGCTTTTTATTGGCCGATTTGTCACAAACGATCCCACCCACCTTCAAATTAAACAAATCAAAAACTATCAACAGGTTTGCATCAATCCCACCAATTGTGTTAATGATTAGCTTATATCTGTTTAGTGTTAGTTTAGCTGAGATTTTCATTTAGCAGATTAGTGGTTAGTGAAGCTAACCTTTTGGTTAGCTGTGCCCACTACTGTTAATGAGGAATCCTCTTATTTTTTTAACACGGTTATCAATTTAAATTACAAATACAACACTTTGCCTATAATTGATGCTTTTCATGTTTTGTTTTGTTTTTATCAAATTTTCAACTTTCTACATCACCAGCAGTGAACAAACATCACTAACATCAACTAATTAAAGAAAGGCTGCTATCAAGATACAAAAATGGCCAAACATCCATTATAAAACATGAGTAAAACTGATGGTTGTCGGTTTACCTGCACTCCTCAGGTGTTCGGTAACATCAAACTGATTGACGAGACGGCCATAAATCATCACAACAACTTCCAGACCTTTTTCCACGCCCTGACCCTCCTGTTCAGGTAAATCTGAAAACCCTGCCCGGTCAGACGAGATCCCTTTTGTGTGTGAAACACTTGGACGTCTCTTCATCAGGAGTGCGACAGGTGAGGCGTGGCACGAGATCATGCTGGCCTGCCTCAGCAACCGGCCGTGCGACGAACTCTCGGGAACGTCGGGGAAGGAATGCGGAAGCGACTTTGCCTACTTCTACTTCGTCTCCTTCATCTTCCTCTGCTCCTTCCTGGTCAGTCTCAGGGAATCGGACGTTCTGATTGAGTAAAGAATCGTACGATGGTTTTATCATCTGTTAGTCTGGATTTTCTTGTACTTAAAGTGTCTGTGACATCAAATTTTTGTAATACGAATGCACTTTTAAAACGACAACAATAATAGCGTATTGCAAAAAAGATTTCATGTTGCTGAGATGTTGAGATATTTGTATGTGAAGAAACAGGAAGTGATGTAAAAGGGGAATGTTAAACAGATCATTGCTACAACGGCTAACAACACAGACTGTAGAGAGGAAACTGATCATTTTTATTATTATTATTATTTTGAGTCACTATCAAAGAGATGAAGAAGAGTCAGAGTTCAAATATTGTTTTATTACCAGAGAGGTTTTTTAAAAGAGTTCCCTTTTGATGTCACTTCCTGTTTCACTTTTGCTGAGCCAAGTTGAGATGAAAATATGTCACTTCTGTGACAAAATGGGTCAAATCGTGTGTATTATGTCAAGTTTCTTAAATATAAAGATGTTTTCTTTGACGTTTTGTATTTGAAGGATATGCATGTCACAGGCACTTTAAAATTAAACAAAAAATGTTTTTTTAGGAAGCTATGAAGGTGAAATTATTAATTTTAGATTGGCCTGAGTCACAATAACAAATTTTGCTGGATGATAAATTGTCTCAGAAATTATCGCGATAAACGATAATATTAATTATCGACCTTGTTTAATTTAATTTATCGTATCGTAATAATTGATTTATTACTTGTCGTGCCCGGACTACTTTTAGTGTGATGTTTTCATTAATTTTTTTGTTAAATAACCCGATCTATGCTCACGATTTTATCCTCCAGATGTTGAATCTGTTTGTGGCCGTCATCATGGACAACTTTGAGTATCTAACACGAGACGCCTCCATCCTCGGGCCTCACCACCTCGATGAGTTCATCCGAGTGTGGGCAGAGTACGACCCTGCTGCCTGGTAGGTGTCTTGGCTCCGGTTTCGTTCCCTCGTGTTAGACAGTGTTACAGAGGACGTTGGCCTTTTTTTAAAGAAAGAAACAGGAAACTCCCACGCTGGGTTCTGCCAGGATCACTCTGATGTTAAGCTGGTAAAAACGCTGTGGATGAATAAYGTTAAGCTTGAGAGCGTCGGCCCAGGACGGTGACAAAACCCCTGTTGGCTGAACCGCTTCTTATAAATCCAGAGTTCTGCTTGACAACTTTTCCCCTGATGTAACAGGCTCTGTAAGAAAGCACAGCTTTATATCAGACCCATCTCTTTTTGTCCCTTTCACCCACCTAACATACAGTTTACTAGACCGAAGCAAAATCTGAGTTTTGAGCGAGACTCTGTGAAGCATAATCTGTCTCAGATTACGTTAGGCTCATTAAGTTTTCACCGGAGGCGTCACAGGAGACTCGTCGGTGAGTCAGAACTCCGACAGAGGTGTGAGAAGTGAAAGAAGAATTGTCCCTCACCTGACAGACATTACGGAGGAGGACTTATAATTTATTCTTCTGAATATAAATGAGCTGCTCTCAGAGGTAAAAATCAACCTTTCATTCCACCTGCTGTAACTGTTGGTGTCTCGTTGTGGGTTCAAGACTCACTCAGCAACTTCAAATTCAACCTCAGTCCATTTCAGGACAATAAGCTGAGATTATTTACATAGAGTGATTTATTATGCTGCTTCTTAGTGGTATACTTTGTTGTTTTTAGGTAGGTTTGTATGGAGTCAACATGAGTATTTAGTGTCTAACCTGCAGTACACAGTAGTTGTWGTGCTTTGAAACAACTAGCCACTCAATTAACTTATCAACCACTCAGAGTTAGCCTCATTCTGAAGATCTAATGGGCTAACTCTTAGTAGCTGATACATATCCAACAACTCAAAATTACACAAAAAGCTCAGACTTGCCAAGCTAATTGTTAGAGATAMTCAGCATTAATATTTATAATATTAATAGTTTAGTTTATAACTATTCAGAGACAAGCTAACAGCTACTGAGAATGAAGTTAACAGCTTGTTGAATCCAGAGGAGATATTAGCTACTAAAAAGCGTTATGAGTCACTGTGAGAAATGCTAACYGTTAGCCTGCTACCTGATCAGGCAGTGAGCTTGTGTCTGTGATCTAACCTCTTGAACTTGTCTGGTCTTTTTCAGTGGGAGGATTTGCTATCGGGATATGTACAAATTGTTGCGTTTAATCTCCCCTCCCCTGGGCCTGGGGAAGAAGTGCCCCAACAGGGTGGCTTACAAGGTTTGCACTCTTACAAAAGGAGGCCGTGATRGTTTCAGGCTGTGAATGTCTGTTCTCATTCCCTGCGGCAGCAGAGAATGACCTGAGCACACACACGCATACGAACGCCCATTGACCCTCTACTAACCAGCTGGCACGTAACCATGGCGAGGGCAGGAAACAAAGCAGCAAGTCAGGCTCGAGCAAAAAGGCATCGGATGTCTAAAATGTTTACCTTCTTTGAAACGATGGAGCCATAAATACAGAGAGAGAGAGCATTGTGTGCCTTGTTTTCACTCTGGTTACTGCTGAGAACTTGTAGCATGCAGAAACACGGGGCGTTTTAAAGGTACACTCCTCTGAAAATCTTCGTTTTGAGTTGGGAATAACCCCGAAACGTCGGTCTGACAAGTTCAAAGCTGCTTATTTACAAAATAAAAGCAACAATATTTCATGAGATTTCAAGAAATGTGTCAAATCCTCCACATTTTTTGGGTTTTTATCTTGATAAAAGCTATAATATCAGTCAAAACGTAGATGTTTTCAGTGGGGTACTCCTTTAAAATGATGACTAAATGCTATCTTCCATCAGGTTTCTCCCATCTTCTTTCTTTATTAAGGTAATCTGGAGCGTAATCCCTCGTGTTTTCCTCTGGGATCCAAAACTCAACTGCAGTGGCATTCCAGAGCGTAAAATCCTGGAAATCTTATTAACAAAGATTTCTGTGTCTCCTTTCTTCCTCCCCTTCCCGTTATCTCTTTTGCTTTTTTTTTTGTTTGTTTATGACCGAACTGCCTTCACCCTCTTCATCCTCTTCATCCTTGCCCGGGGGAATCTTCATCCCTGCTTCCGTTCACCTCCTATCAATCTTTTGTTTCCCCCCTGGGAAGCGGACGCATATCTTACRGTGACATGTACGAGATGCTTCGCGACATGTCCCCTCCGTTAGGTTTGGGGAAGAAATGTCCTCCCAGAGTGGCCTACAAGGTAGAATCACTCCCCGTCTCCTCCTCCTCCTCCTCCTCCCTCCCATCGCTGCTGGTTCCTCCGCTTCCACCTGCCAAACCCCTTCAGGCTTCTGTCACTTCGCTGCAGCCGATATCCTCTAAGCTGCTGCTGCTGTGATGTCGTTTTCTGTCTGTCTGTCAGCCTCTCTCTGAGGGATTCTGCAGACAAACAGAAAATCAGAGGAGCTGCGGAGTTTGACAAAAACAGCAAACAAACTGGAGACAAGAAGCTTGAACCGGTGCTCACCTATCAGGGATAAGGCCAGTTTTTTAAAATTAACCCCTCAGCATCAACAGGTATTTTAGTTTTTAAACCCAGAACATGAAGTCTGAAAATGACTAGAAGCCATAATCTGAACTCCGTCTCACAAGACAGGATCTGAATGTAGCAGACAGTGATGGACATCATGCCTGAGGGAGTCTCTGGATTGTCTTCTGACTTTTGCGAGGTTTTTAACTGCGCAGCCTCGTGGCTTGACTTCTGAACGTGTTTGAATTATTTGTGCAGCAAGTTTACTTTAGAGATATTCACAGAGTTGTCTTGGCAAATCCAGCCCATCTAGTTTGAGTCCTGCAGAACCGAGGTTAAATTTGACCCAAAAAATAATAATAAATAAATAAATAAAATCCGAGGCAAACGTCCAGGTCTACAAACGGTGACAGCATATTAGGACCAGACTAAGAGAATTATTATTTTTAAATTACAAAAATGAGAAAAAGTCTTACAAGAATAAAGTCATACGAGAGTAAAGTTGTACAAGAATAAAGTTGAAATATTACGAGAATAAATCTGTTATATTATGAGTAATATCTATTTTACACATAAGGAAATATTATTTTTTTAACAAATCAGCAACAAATTATTATCAGTAGGACTTAGAAACAGTTGTGTAAATGATTGTGTGCATTTTGAAGAAAGAAATAGCTTTTTTTTTTTGGTCAAAATGTAGCTTAGTCAGTCCCTAATACTCCGTCGTAACAAACCACACTGAAAATCTGGTTCAGATCAGCCCGTCTTCATTTCTAAGCTGTGATCCAGCTGATTAAACTTTAACCATGGTAGCAGCTGCTGAGGTGGGGGGACAATGAAATAATGTGCGAGACCAAGAATAGAGATTTGTGAATCGTACGCACTAAATTTGTCCGTGACTTTAAAAAAACTGTCCACTCAAAACTGTTTGTTCACTTAGTCACAAACACTGCAGCTGAAATATCACCTTTTCTGACAATTTCAAATGATTTTTTATTTTTTTTCCACCAACTCCACAACAGTTTGAGCTCCACCCACCTTCAGTGCCTGAACATCGATCTTAATCTTTTATTTTGAAAAGGTGAGTGTTGTGAAACTCCTCAGGTAGTTCGTCGTCTGCTCACCTCTCCACAGKCCGACTGGACGTGAGAGGTTCCAGCTTGCTGCTCAGCTGTCGGATCGAATCAGGTCTGAAGCGGGCCTGCCCTTGCCCCAGTTAAAAACGCCCGGGTCTGACGCCGTCTCCAAATATAACTCTGCTTATTGTGAATCGACAGGGAAAGACACAAACACGACTCACAGAGCAGCAGAGCGCTTCAGAGCAAGGCTGACAAATTATTTACCTCTGCCTTTTCACTCCATCTTCTGCTTCTGTCCTCCTCATCTTCATCAAACAGACGTTCTGCTCTTCTGTCTGTGGAGTTACTAATTCATTCAAACGTGCATGTGTTCAGGAGCTTCAGACTGCATGGCTTCCTGCGTCACAGTCTGTGTTTGTTCTCTTTGCTGTCAGGAAATCATTACTTTTTATTTCAAAAACACTAAAAGCTCCACAGGATGTTTGTTTTCTTCAGCTACTTGTAAAAATACAATGAGAAAAATAAATAAAAGTGGAAAAAATATGGATTTCTGCTAAACTAAACTAAAAGCGAAACTGGCCAAAAGTTTAAAATACACCTAGCTACAAGTATCACAATGTTTGCTAAAAGCAGAGAAAGGTGAGGTTAAAAACACCAAAAGGTAAGAAAAAAATAGCAAAGGGTTAACTAAAAGTTACAAAAGGATCGCTGAAAGCTAAAAGTAGCTAACGGCTAGCTAAAAGTATCAAAATGTTTCCAAAAATAGCAAAGGGTAAGAAGAAAATAGCAAAAGGTCAGATAAAAGTATCAAAATTATTTCTAAAGTAGCAACAGGTTAGGGAAAAATAGCAAACAACAGCTAAAAGTAACAAAAAAGAAATCAAAATCTCAACATAGCAAAATATCAGCTGAAAGATTAAAGAAGCAAACTTGCATAGGAACTAAAAGGCTAATTAAAAAAAAATAGGAAAACAGCTAAAAGAGATAATAGGATAACTAAGACCAAAAGGTAGCAAAGGATGGCTAAATGCTAAAAGAAGCCAAAGGGTAGCTAAAAATAGCAAACACCTAGCTAAAAGTATCAATTTTTGCTAAAAGCAGAGAAAGGTGAGGTACAAACACCAAAATGTAAATAGTAAAAAAAAAACATATAAATATATATATATNTACAATATTATACAGTACAGTAAAATACAATATTATACAGTACAGTAAAATACAATATTTTACAGCACAGTAAAATACAATATTATACAGCACAGTAAAATACAATATTATACAGTACAGTATAATACAATATTATACAGTACAGTATAATACAA